TGATAACTCCGCTGTTCTCTGAGTTTGATCTATTAGATTTCATGTTTTGTTTACGTTAACCCTCTATATAAGGAGTCAAATCTTTTTGGCCCACCGATCAAATTAGGACTTCAACTAAGTCCCTCCAGCCATGAGTTGTTATGAAAAAAAAAGTTTTCTAAACAACACTTAAGCTCTGAAATGAGGTTTCTAAGAGGAAAAAATCCAAGCAAAGTAATCTCGTGTGTGAATAATTGACTAAATTTTATGTTTTTAAAATTTTACCACGTAATCAAAGACACTTCCGGGCTAGGTCTTGGACCATAGTTTGGAGACTCCTGCTCTATATAAAAATTTTAAATATAAAAAACTGTATATAAAGAATTGTTTCCGATCGAAGGATCGTTCCTTTGTAGTTGGGTGTCAATACTTTGCTATGTATTGAACATAATGTATTGAGCAATTGAGGTTTTAAGGATTATTATGACAAGTTGAACGAAACCGACTTCTGACACCAAAAACGGCGTCAAGGGTAGAAGGCAATTAGATAAAGGCAATTAGATCCGACCTGTACCTGGACCGAAGGAAGGCTCAGAGTAAAAACTAGTAGCGGGCTAAGGAACTGGTTCCTTTTAGGGTGTTACCAGTTATTGTGAAGTAATAGGGTGAAGTTAAGAGCCAATGGAAACCATCCTTTCCCCACCCTGAATATTTTGTATAAAATCTACCGAGGAGGAAGAAAATAGGGCTTATATCGATCTCCGGTCTGGAGGAAAGAGGTCTTATGTTGATGTCCGGGCTTGAGGATGGGTCTTATATTTTCTTCCGGCATGTAGACTGAAGCCTTGCCCCTACATAGACCATGATGATTCTGGCAGAGCTTTGAACGATGACGAGATTATCTCAACTAGTGTAGCCCAAATGCGAGACTGAGACGAGTCTTGGTCTTGCAAACTCAGTCTTGATCATGGTCTTGGTCTTGCGCAAGACTCTCGCAGCAGTCTTGCAGTTACTTATTAGCTTATTACTATAGAGATATTCTTGTATTTTTTTAGATAGGGAAACCTAACTAAGCCAGAATGAAAAACTAGAAGAGTTGAATGCAAAAGTATATTAGTTATATCAATTATTAACATACAGTAACTAAGATTGTCAAGTATTAGTAACTTTTTTGGATTAATTTTTATTTAAAAAATTTATTTTTTTTGTCAGTGCTGGTCTTCGTCTTGCAACAGTTAAGCGGCCTTGGTCTTGGTCTCGAAAAGTGCAAGACCAAGACCGATTTTGGGTAACACTAATCTCAACTTAGCGGATGCGGTGATGACATCTACCAACTACACCACTTCATATGCCTATATAAGGTTTTTTCTCAAAAATAAAAATACCAATGTTAGAATATTTCATGGCAAAATAATTCTCGAACAGTCCATCTGAAATCATGCCTTCACAATTAATTATTAAAATCATTTAGTTTCTTGTAAATATAATTTTTATATATTCTTTATTCAACATAGAAATAAATTAAGTTTTTTAGCAAAAGTTATTTTAATTCTGCCACCCATTCATGTCTTGATGATCACAGGTAATGTACGTAATTAGAAAGCATGATAAACACAAACTTGAGAAAATAAATCCAATTAATTAATCATGGACCAAATATATTATAGATCCCAATATATTTTACTATTTTTTTATAATTAATTTATACTAAACATTTCTGGGTAATTATCATCAATAATTATCCAGTGGCATCCCGAGTAAATTTAATCCCCCCAAAACATAGCAATTTTTAATTTCATCCCTTTTTTGGAGAGAAACATAGCAACTTCCTTTTGTACGTGATGTGATTTTTGAACAGAGTTGCAACTACGTACTCTTTATTTGAAACTACCTTAAAAATATAACATGTTAGTTTTCTGGCGAGGAAACATGGCGCGGAAACATTGTTAATATAGTCCATTCCGCTCAGGTTCCAAGAACGCTTGTAGGATACCAAATATATCCGACCGCCCCTCTATTCCTTTCGGCGAATCGGGAAATATGTTGGGTAATAATGATAGGGCAGGCCCAGATGGAAGAGGAGAGAGCGATTCAGCGAACGTCCATTAAATTAGCGGGACGAGCTAATGGAGCTGCAGAGCAAAGAGTACGCTCAACAAAGGCTTTGTGTCCTCAATGCATTAACCGATTACCTCCTTCTTCCCCTCCTCGCGGTAATAATACTCCGGCCGGACCCTGTATTAATATTTCTCTCTCTATCTCCGAGGTTAAAGGCTACATGTTGTACCTTGAGTATCGGCTATAACCAATTAATGAGGGTAACAGTAAAACGAGGATGAAACACGGCCGTCAATTTTCAGATTTTATTACTTATAATGAAAATAAAAAATGACCGGCAAGTACCGTCGCTAAGGACGTATTGTGTATTTATCTTTTTTTTTTTTTTTTGCAGAACAGATGAAAAATTCGTTTCATTGAAGCTTACCCGAAGAATTTAAATATAATTTTAAAATCAATTGAACTGCTGATTTTTTTTTTATTTATGTTTTGTTTTATTGATTTTCATGAAAATTCGACTCAACTCAAACACATTACTTTTACTCTTCGACAAGAAACTTATCTTCCTATTTATCACAACAATGTGTATATTCCTCGAGCTGATAAAGTACATACTTTGTACTGACATTTGATTGATATAGGACACAAAGATCTACCAAAAAAAAATGTTAACCACAGATTACGACTATTATACTCACTACCAAGACGATCAAAATTAAAACTAAAACTAAAACTGAACACATACAAGTAGGGGTGCCTATCTCCCTCCCTCCATGGCCGATGAATCTTTCCCCTCCTCCCAAGATATTTTATTGTTCTCCTCTTCTTAAAAACAGTCTAGTCTAAAGTAGAGTTTTAGAAATCATACGTCATATACAATTAAATTTTGAGTGGTCTTTTCTCTGATTTTCTCTTATCTTCGGGTTCGAAACTTTTCATTTCAAAAATTCATACCCCCCGTCGGAATTGACCCCCACAAAAATTTAAAAAATCCCTCAAAATGTGCCTTCTTCAAAAAATTCGATGGCGCTACTTGCACCATCAAAATCCCTTTTGGGCATTCCTGCTTGCAAGGACATTTTGACTCTCGCTCCGCAGGTCCAGCTACGGGACAGAAAAAAAGGACCCGTCTACGAAGAAAACAACCTTTTCTTTCAAAAACCTTCAGAACAACAACTGAAGCCTCCACGGTGTGTCACAAACATTCACCAGTTAACCACACACAGGCACACTACAATAGATTCCACGTCAATTTTCACGGACACCCTTAGCAGTGTCAAAAGAAGGACCTCCTCTCTTCAAAATGTATATTAAAGTCTAGATACGAAATGAAGTGGGTGAAAAAAGGAGATTAAGCGGAAGGCACTTTGCTAACTCTATCTTAATGAACAATTTTCCAAATTTTTAATTCAGTTTGGAGTGGTTGTAAGATATCATTATAAGCTGTGGGAATTATTGTAAACTGGAAAATACTACACGAAAAATGGCGGTGTGGAAAGAACAAAGTAGAAACCCTCAAAAGGCATTTTTCTGACTCCAACTGAAGTCACATAAAAAACATCGGGGAATGAAATGAAATTTTAGATTAATAATCAGTTTCTGTATGACTGGAATCTTTATTTCTAATTTTGTTTCAATAATTTCGGAACTAGCACTTTTTCACCTTGCAATTAGTTCTTATACTGCACTGTGATTTCTTCTTTCAGCAAAGAACTGAATAGGTTTATATCTCAGAACAGATTAATGATGCGATTGAATGATGGTATAATTCTAATTAATCCTTTAATTTGGCCAAAATCGGATAAACTTTCCATGAATAGATCTTTAAATATCTCAACTGGAAAAAAACCCATATCATGTAAGTTAGAAAAAATGTTGATGCTAAAATTCTGATTACTAAAAAACTTTCGAAATCATCTATGACCTATAATGTATATTGGTGGCTTATCCCCTCCTTCCAAAGACAATGTTTTCTAGGTACGTCCCTCTACCAAATCATCAACAGTCATCGTCCTTCTTACGCCTACAACCTTCGGCAGCTCAAATCCTCAGTCCATCCCCTGTCCACAAGATCTCGACCTTCTAACCTTTACATGCCTTCTCACAGTTCTACCTCATTCCGAAACTCCTTTATTGCTCGCTCTGTCAATTTCTGGAATTCTCTCCCTATCAAAATTCGACATTCCCCATCCATATCCACCTTCGAAATCCTCCTGCTCCAATCCTCCTACTATCACAAAAACTTTCAGATAGTTACTAACCATTTGACAACATAAATTTATTTCATGCCATTCATTATCAAATATCAATGCTATTTTTTGCTAGAGATATTTATTTTCTTTTTGGATAAAGATTTTCCTACTCTTGATGTCACTAAACGCATCTAGTGGTAGTTTATAACTATTATCTTTTATACACCACTAAATTCTTGCCTATTGTTACGTTAAGAAATGACGATAATGTATTTATACATTAATCAAAATTTAAATGATAAGGTATTTATATATCAATCAGGCACTTTATATTGTCGGATTCAGCTTTCTGTTTTCTCACCAGAAACACATAGCTTATTTTAATTAAGAATTTAATATATTTTTATTTCTTAATTCTGTATTGTTTTCTTCAAGGTTTATACTGGTCTATCAGTGCAAATAGCTTTAAATGTCTTGTCATAGTGCTAATTGTTTTTTATATAGTTTCGTTTGTTTTGTAAATAGAATGTTTACCTTATATTTTCTTTACATTATTTGTTTTTTTCTATCGATTTTATTTTGGCCAGATGTAATCTTTTAATTTGGTTCTATTTTGTTATTCTCAAGGGACTGTGTCCCAGAATAAAGTTATTGTCTATCTATCTATCTATTTATCTATCTATATTTCTCTTTAAAATTCACTATTAACAAAGATCAAATTATTTCCAACATTTAATAAAATTGTATTTCCTTGGAACACTTTTCAGATCCCACTAATGTCCGCGGAGATGGGAGTTGTTCCAAGAGCTTTGGAAGAGTCGATAAACGTCTCTATGGGAACCAACTGGAGCATTCTCACCAACTCAACAGGTCACAACGCTTCCCAGCCAGCTGCAGGCGACCTCCTGGCCGACAGGCCTTCCATGTCTATGGTATTTTGTCTTAATTAATGCCATATATTATATTATAGATTGACTAATTTGGAAAAAAAAAAACGTATTTGTTAAGATAATAGTAGTCATTAATATAAAACAACTAGTTATCACCTGAGAATACTTCTCATGGTATATTGGTAAGTGAACGAATTATGTTATAGTAAGGAAGTAAACGTAATGTATTATGAGAGGTAAGAAATAATATTCATTTCCAACAATATACAAAAGCATGCTACACTCTATAAGGTCATAGAAATCGTATCACGCAGTAAAAATTTTATTTTATTTGCCAGATTGCTACTGTAAGATCTTCGAATATTTCGTTGCAAGTTATGAAACGATATTCTAAAAACAATCGCACCATTAAGCTGTCAAATTGTCCGCTTGTTTTTTTCTTTTGCTCTATGGTGTCTTTTTTTTCAAAACTATGGCTACCGTTGATTCGTGGCACCCTAACCTCGTTACTACTTCCCGTGAAGATTCCTTTACTTCATGTAACGTCACAATTTTAATGTTTCTTAACGGGGACAATTTATAGCAATACAGGTCATGATTACAGCTTTTATCCTGACATTAGTTAAAACTGTACTGAGAAAAATTGTTAAAGTTTTCTTGTAACCTTAATAAGTAAAGAAAAAGAAAAACATCCAATTGAATAAAGATTTTTTTTCATAGCCTCTTTTTATTTATCTTTATCTTGAATCATTGGAATTTTGTTGTCTTCTTCATAGTCCTTTCACTGCTAAAAAGCATTGGAAAGTGTATTTTGCTTCTTTTTTTTTTTTTTCGTTTCTGAGTATTTTTTCTATATTTGTAATATAACCGGTGATGGGGTTCACCACATGATTGAGTAGCCCTTATAGTTTAGAGCAGTGGTCGGCAAAGTGCGGCTCCAGAGCCGCATGTGGCTCTTTGGCTCCTTAAGTGCGGCTCTGGCACAAATATCCACTTTAGCAGATAAACTTTAGCATTTGTCAAAAATCCTCTTAATGCTACGATAACCGAGTTGACATTTTATCCTTTTGAAATTGACATCGGTAGCTTTGAAATACAATTGCTGGATTTAAAAAACAAGGAGATATGGCGCTCTAAATTCGAACTCTAGAAATATTGGAGAAAAAAAAGTGTGATCTTTGATCACAACACAAGTGGTCTGAATGACCCGGAGAAGGAAGGCATGATCATTTTTAACACTTTGGATCGTATTTCTGACTCTTACGATCAGCTGAAAAAGCTCGCGTTTGATGTTTTTTTCCCTTTTCGGTTCTACACATATATGCAGAACATCTTCTAATCTTTTTCAAGCATGAACATTATCAAGAGTAAACTCAGAAGTCGTCTTATTGATCAGAACTTGGAATCATGCCTAAAATTGAAAACAACAACATTCAAACATGACTTTCTCAAACTTTCCAAGGAGCTGCAAGCACATTGTTCGCATTAATAAATATTTATTCAGCATGAAATTTAGTTTTAGTTAGTGTAATAAAAGTTTACTAAACAAGCAGATTTGGCTCCCAATTTTTTTTTAAATTGTTGTAATGTTTATATTTTGCTCTTTGGCTAATAAGTTTGCCGACCACTGGTCTAGAGCTTAAAACCAAATTAAAACACCTTTCTTATGTCATTTGTTGGCAACGTTTTGGAATTTTGGCTGGTAACAAGTTGTTGAAAAGAGGGTTTACCAATTGTTGAGACTTTACGAAAAATGATTTTTTTCGTTTTGCGAGAAATAAAGTTATCAACATAAGAATCAAAAGAAATAGGTGATGCAATTTCTATGACCGGGAATGTATGTATATATATGCTAAGAGTGGTCCTATTTCGATGATTTCCTAATTCGGAAACCTTTTAAATTAATTATCTATGAAATAATCACCCATAAATCAACTTATTTTCCTGGCTTTTCTGAGAGATGTACTTGTTGTCTGTAACTGAAGGAGAATATAATCTTCAGATTTATTGCTATTTATATGATGAATTAATGAAGATATTGCGCACAGACAAAAAAAAAACAGCTTAGAGAAATAATATATAAAGATAAATACTGCTCTGGACCTCATAGAAGCCCTTATCTTTTAATTAGTTTTTCAAACAATCAAAAACTACACCTTTTCCAAAAAATGTTCAGTAATTAATAAAAAACTAATCAGATAGTATACAGAGCTAAACTTAAAATTTACAAGATTAGCTCCAAGAGTTTATCTATTAACTAAAAGTAAAAATAAATTATTTGTAAAAAATCAGTCTTTGAATTTTTGATATTTTTCATTTCTCGCTGAAAGATCCTTCAGTTGCCACCACATCTATTTACCCCTCAACATTGACATTTTCATATTTTGATTAAATCTCTATCCTAGTCCTCACTGTACATCATTTTTGAGGGAAGTATTCCATAAATATCAAAGATGGCATGGTTCTTCCGGCGGGACCTCAGAGAATTTGAGAAATGATTACTGGAAGTGAAATATTCCTTCCTTTACCAGTCACCATGTACGAGATACTCGTATTTTAATGTTTGTGCATTCCGACTATGAATACCGAGTAATCCATTAAAATTTACATTGATTGCGAGGTGAAAATTGGAGAGAAATTTTAATTTCAGAGATTCGTAAACATTTTTTATTGAAGTTAAAAAATTAGAAATAATTTAGACTCATCAATATTTTAATAATAAACACCGTATGTCAACAAACAGTATCAATCGTGTTAAACTCTTGCCTATATATATATTTCAACTGAATATTTAGTCATACATAAAAACTAAATCCTACTTAGGATTTCTTGGAAAACAAGTTATCTAATTCAGGCTTCATACAAGCCTATAAAGAAATTTATTTGTAATCAAAAAACCGCTTGATTTGCTTAGAGAACGCAAAGCATCAACTTGTAAATATATTGAACTCTCCAGGCCTTTATTTGAGTTAGACGTGAGATCATCTACTCTATTAATGCTGTTGGCTGTTATCAGTATCTCGGCCAGACACCTAACAACTTGCATTAATTTAGGGTTTGTGTTCCTTATCTAATGCTGTTTGATTATAGTGTTGTGTAGTTCATCTGGGCCGTCGGAACGTGTTTCTGTGGGTACTCCACAAATCAGAACCACAAGTAATTTATTACCACGAACTTTGCTTAAAATTAAAGATAGGAATAAGCATTTTATTAACAACACTTTGATACACCTAGTCGCACCTGTTCACCTCCTCTTTAGCCACAGATTGCTTTTTTTTTTCTTCCATATCCAGAACATATTTCTATTGCTATGTACTGTCCCTGATTTACAGAGGAAAATTTTTCACTTGTCCCAAGCACCAGTTTTTGAGAGGCGAAGGGAATTTGAGGTACGAAAAAAAAATATGATGACAAAATTTGTTGAGAGAAGGGAACAGATTTTTTTTTTTAACGCAAAGAATAATTTGGTTTCCAGAAATAGATGTCGAATCTTGAAATTTAAAACTAAACAAAAGGGAGTTTGCTAATAACCGTGCTTGCCTTAATTTTGGTAATCTTTACATCGACAGAGTCCAGGAAATGTTAATTATTAATATCAGACCTAAATTGGAATATATAACAAACAGATATTTTAGATACCTGTTAATCAATATGTAGTACGTTTAATTCATGTTTCATTAGTAGAAGTTATAACATTTGTATCTGACTTCAACCACCATTTATTGAAGCGAGCCGCATGTGGAAAGATAGTGCGTATTTAACCTCGTGGTATACCCTTGCGCAAGCAGTCCTTGAATTTAAGCCGGGATTGAAAACTTGTACATTTTAAACTGTGGGTCGGTTTGACAGAGGTTTACACTTATTCTCCTTTTCTCTATCTCTTTATATTTTATCCTCACAGTAGTTTGTCTTTTTTTTTAAATATATTTCTATTAATACATCATCTTGCTTTATGTAAAGAAATTGCCGATGGTTTTTACTCCAAATTTTCAAATTTAATGGTTTCGTCCCAAAATGTATCGTATTTCTGAAACAATGACTAATTCCAGCTTTAGTATTTCTTTAATTTTATTCCAAGATCTCACTTTAATGTGTACATTCAAGAAATTGATACTTTGGGAATGAAAGACTGGGACTCAATCATTGTTGACTTGTTTGTCAGGAGTTTAGGGTCCTTGTATTCTTCAGCTAGAGAAGGAAGGACGGGTTATCATGCTGGTTATCAACACTTTCTAACTACAGAGAGAAGGTCTAGATTTAGTACGTTAGTCCAACACGAAATGAATTTCAACTCGCTCAGGCCGGATTCGAATTGGCATTGCTACTGAATTTAGAATGCTAAAGTGGACGAGCCTTAGAACGTTCAATCACCAGGGCCTCTTAAATTAAAAACTAGCCTATCTATGTTAAAACAAACAGCGGAAAGAAAAATTCCTGTTAGATATGATGAAGATGTTTGGATTCAAGCATTTTCATATCTTATAAGATTACTGTTCTGAAAAGCTACTATGAGAGTAAACATGGAGTGTTTTCACTCTGACTGATGATCGATTTCGTTGAAGAAAAAAAAAATTAAATTTTTCCAGTGACTTGTATTATATCCATTTTACAAGTGGAAACATATCTATAAAGTACACATGCATGTTGAATATGTACACACATACATACTGTATTAGGAATTGTTTTAAGTTAGTGATTTCTTATGTGATCACGAATAGGCAAATACACAATCCGCATATCTAAAACTGTTTATTTTTGTATTCCCTGATAAACAAAAGTCATGTCTATCAAACCCACGAATGTTGAGGGATTATTGCATTTCGAAAACGATTTTGTCCAAGATTTTATTCTCAAATGAAAAATGATAGACCTTATAATATTATATTATATATAAAAGATAAAATATAGATAATTGTGTAACCAAGGAAACGGTGAGGAAGCTATACTGACTTCACTTGTCGGACTTTTTTTTTTAGTAGCTATTGACGAGATTTAATGTTATCAACAAAAACTATTTTGAAACAGCATACAGATATAAATAGAAATTTAAATGTTAGTTTGTTCTAAACCCTTATCTCCGAAAGGTCTTAACCAATTGCTTTGAAATTTTAACACAACGTTGAAATCAAATTCAGAAGTGTTTTATATACATTTTATTACCATCCGGCATTTCTTCTCGAAATGGCGGCCGAAAAACGTGTATCGCTATAGACCAGGGTTCTCCAAACGTTTTGGAGCGTGAGCCACTATGATACCTCCATTAAGCTCTGCATGCCGCATTGAGAAATCCACTAACAAGGGGAGTTTACGGACGTGGGGTCACCGGTTTCAATGAAACTTTTTTTGGTGATACAAGGTCGAAAAATATTAGACCTATGTCGAGGGTTCTTGCCAATGCGCCCTGGGAGACGAGAAAAAAAACTGGATGAAAACTAGCATATATAACTTTGCTTTATAATTAATATGCTTATACTCCTGGTGCCTCAGTGCCTATCCTGAGCCAAGTATTAGTTACCTTTCAATGGTGTAAATAACCTCAATACAACTATTGCAACACATAAGTTGTCCTGTAGGGGGCCACAATTTATGTATTAATGTGTATATTGAAAAACATTTCAAACAAATGGAAAAATAAATTAATTATTTATAAATAAATTGATATAATAATAATTTATTTATGTTGAGTATTTATTTAATAACCTTTTGTCATAATCTATATACTAAAGTTTGAAAAATGTTGGGATGCAAAGTAGTATCTATAGGATAAGAATTAAGTTATTTATTTGTTTTTAAAGGGAGGGGGTGAAGAAAAAAATTGTATTAGAATGCAGCAAACCTTAGTTACAGTTTGCTTCGTATATATGAATATATAGAAAATGGTTTGAGACCAAAGTGGCAAAATAGTGTTATCCAGGAGTGTAGCAAAAAGGAATCAATTAATATAGGACTAGTGGGATTACTTTTATATCATAATTAGTTTCTTTCACTATGTGAAATAATGAGAATCAACCTGTCACTGTTAATATATTCTTCAGAAGTCCATTTTTTATATTTTTTGCTACTTAATTTTTTTTTTTTTGCATGTTAGAAGGAAGGCAGCTAACTCAACTTTTTCCCTCTAGATACATCCATGACATTATTGTTATTAATGGTTAACAGACATGATGAATAGCATAAATATGAAAGAGATTTCATTATGAAATGTAAAATATATATATTTTATATACATTTCAGTTTGCATCCATGATCATAGTGCTCCTAATGGTAATGACAGCTGCCTACCAAGTGCTGACCAGTATAGTCAAAATGTTCATATTAACGGGAATCGCTTCCATCTATCTGGTTCTATTCTTATCTACAGGTATTTCCAGGTATATATTTTTTTTTTATTATTATTTCATTTTTAAATCCATAAATTATTATATATTGATTTACAAAGTAAATTCATTTTTATCTTTTGTAAGATTTTCCTGGAGATTTTCTGAGCCCAGGATTGATCCATGGCTGCCGCTGGACTCAAACCTGGTCCAGGATAATTTTAGCACAGTGCCTTAATCACTGAGCTGTCTGCTCACTGATTTCTTTATAATTTACATCTGCTTGAACCTATAAAACACTACAAATTATAAAGTTCAAAACACTAAAATTTATGACACTCAAACTTATAAAACACTAACATTATTATGAATTAAATAATAGAGGAATGAATTTATTTTAGCATTGTAACTATTAATTAATTATTAATTAACTTTGTGAAATGGTAATTTGAATCTTAACAAAGACACAACAGTTGATTCTCAAAAATGTTTAGGCATATAAACACTCATTTTTATTGAGAATTTTTTCAATAAAAATTTCAACAAAAATTTCACATTTTCAGTGACCTGGATATGTACAGCCAATTCTACAATGTGATTTCTCTCGTCGGCTTCCTGATTGCCCTAATCATTCATGGAAGACAAACTGAGGCAACCAATAGACTAGACTTCCTTTGGAAGTTACAAGCAACAGGTAACATTATTGCCAATTTACTTTTTATTTAATAAATCAGGCTGAGGTAGCTAATTGTTATTAAGCCCCACAATAGATGCATTTTAGATGAAATTACATTTGAAAAGGGTGTGTTTTAAAGGGATTGGTAACCTATAAATGTGTCATTCCATATGAAATCAGGAGATGGTTTAACGTTTTTTTTTAAATCAAATGATTTTCATTGGAATTTGGTCAGGACCATAGTTGTTGGTTTGGGATTTAAGGATAGTAGAGTGTATGTCAGTTGGAGAGATATCAAGAAAAAAAAAGTTATCTGGATCAAAGGAGGTTTCAGTGATGGAAAAAGGTAAGAGGTCAGATTTTAATACAGAAGGAGGGTGCTTTGAAACAAAGGAATTTAGTTCGTTTGGATCTACTGGATAAAGTGTGCTGGTTTGGGATCTTATGACAGAGAGTTTCCAGATGATTTTCCATTTGGATTTAGGATTAGGTGCTTGGGATAGTACATTGTTAAAGTATTGCACTTTGGTCCAGCTTAAGGATATTTGTGTGCTGTTTCGTAGGGATTTGAATATAGTATAGTGTTGGCGTAGTCGTGTACCCATATGCCTCAAATTACAGAACATACCGATTTTTCAATATATTTGTTATATCAACTAAATAAATTACAAATCTATTTATTTTTTAAATATTTTTGGATTTTTAATTTTTTAAAATTGTGGAAATGGCTGCATTTCAAAATGTTTTGAATTACAAAAATGCTTGTAGATTTGTAGCCAAATCGCTTTTTTTCCAATTACAGCCAATTCGCTTAAAAAAAAAAAAACATCATTTGTCAATTATATAACATTTTAGAAAGATAATGTGCTTCATATTATATAATTAATGTTCTTATACATGGATCAAGGGATTTATAGGCCTTTATACTTAAAAGATTTATTGAACTTCAAAAGTTCAAGTTTGATTCAGTTTCAAGATTTATTTTTATTTTATAAAACATTTCTTTAGCACCTTCGGCTGAAAATCTATCAGCATTTATATTATAAAAACATGGTGATATTCAGATATTTTCCCATTTTTTAAAATTGACATTAAATATTCATTTTATTGAGAAAAAAAATTTATATTGACCAAATAGGATTTGGTCACAAATCTTGAAGGCCTTTTATGTATAAATAAATATGCTACCTTTGAGCAAGCAGCTCTGATGAAGACCTGAAGCTTAGGCCAAAATAACAACACAAAGAAAATAAATATAATTTATTTTTGTGTACTTCCAATGATTGCAAACCCCAACCAACTACTCTTATAAGGAAAAAAATATATTCCTAATTTATTTAGTTGGTAATTAGTATTACAAATAATAATTGTCAATTAATATTTTTAAAAAAATCATGTAAATCTGAAAGATGCAGGTTCAAAATTTATTTTACACTGGGTGATTTGATATAGGATGACCCTAGTACAAATTACTACCCATAAATTTAAGTTTCCTGAAAATTCACATTTTCTGCGCTAGTTAAATGATAAAATACAGTAGATACCTTTGGAAAAAGAGAACAATAGATATCCACAAAAAAAAAAGTGCCTTGTCTTTTTCCAAAAGCCAAATACAGTGGTCAGCAAAAATTTTCATATATGCATCGAACAAAATTTTTAAAAAATCAATGAAAACAATTTTTCCCACATATATTTTTATTTAGACTTCAATACAGCTGTTATTAATATTTTAAGTGAACTTTTAAGAATAAAACAAGAATTTCAATGCAACAAAGGTTTTCATATTAGATAATAATTTATTTATTTATTTTATTCCAAATTTTTAAGTTAATATTTTTAATATACTCCTTTGTTTTTTAGTACCAATTTATGTATTTTGGGTGTTTATGGACAGACATTTGAATTCAATTGGGAGTGCATTTTCTCCCATTCTTCCAAAAATCTAGTTTTAAGATATGTTAGTGACATATTTTCAATCCATAAATTTTCATAGGAATTTAAATCTAGATTCTGAATAGTTTCAGAAATTTGAATAGTTATATAGCAGTGTTACCATTTGCGGAGAGCTTTGAGCTATAGGTTGTTATTCTGGTAAAATTTTAATGATTGTTTAATGCCCATTTTTGCCATTAGCAGCTGCCGAAGTTCCTTTCCATTCCTTTTAAATATATACTTTTGATCAACACGATGGTAAAAAGCAAATTCCTGACTCAACATACTGTCACAAGAGCAATGCCACCTTCATCTGCCATTGTAGCTGATAATTTTTTCTCCTTAAATTCCTATTCAGCTTTCCTTCACACTGCTGATACTAAATTTGTGCTCATATGAATACATTACATTATTCCAGTATCGGAATTTTGAGTAACGAGAACAGCTGCTATATAATTATTCAAATGAACAAGAAACTTCTATTCAGAGTCCAGATTTAAATTCCGTTGAACATTTATGGATTGAAAATATAACATCACTAGGATATCTGAAAACTACATTTTTTGAAGAATGAGGGAAAATGCCCTTCCAATGGAATTTTAAGATGATCCCATCATTGCCTTATTGACTTAAAATGGTACTAAAAATAAAGGACTTCATTCAAAATGTTAATTTTAACATTTGGCCTAAAATAAATAAATTATTACATGAAATGATTATGCACAAAAACTTTTGCTGCATCGAAATTTATGTTTTATACTTAAATGTTTATTTAAAATATATGTATTTATTATTAGGTAAATATTGTTCAAAAAATTAATAATAGTATTATTGAAGTTATACGTATGTCAAACACAATCAAATAGAAAAAATAATGTTGGAAAGAAGTGTTTTTATTGAATTTTTATATTTTAACCAATGTGTGTATGAAAACTTTTGCTGACCACTGTAATTTATAAAGTAAGAAAGATTTCATTTCTAAAAAAAAGCTTTTAATCCAATTGAACCGAATTGTAATACAAGAAACCTTCTAGATACAAGATAGTCTTCTAGAACTATCATTTCCAAACCTATCACCTGGCCCGCAATAATAGTTGAATTGAAAGTCCTTGTTGGCGTCCTATGAATGCTTCTGGTTTCTTTGAATCATCAAAGGATATGACTAATTTCTGATTAGTTTACCTCCAATCAGAGAGCAATACCAGTTTCAGAAAGAGTTAAGGCTCTGTGCCAATTTCTAGTTCTCTTTTATCTCAATCGATTTGGTATTCAAAAGTTTATTTGAACGCCACTCCATTAATATTGAAAGTATATTTAATTCATTTTTAAAATAGCTCAATCCATACCACTCAGGTGAAAATGATCCATTCATTTTTCCAAGTGTTGAACGTATGATGGGTTTATAAAATCATAAGTAGATAAAGGCTAAATAGTGTTCACCAAGGATGGAATTTTGGTAAATCAATGGTTGCAAATTATATACAGAATATTTATGTTTATATTTATGTAATTAAAAGGATATTTTAATTACAAGATTCATCTATGTTTCTTTAATTACAAGATCATTCTAAACCTATGTTTTTATTGTACATAAACATATACATTTTTTCTCCATGTTAGTATAAAAAATATTGAACACTAAAACATTATATGATTGTACACAGAGGAGAAAGAAGATATGGAGCATCTTGAAGCCTACAACCGGAAGCTGCTGGCAAACATATTACCTGTTCATGTGGCTGAACACTTTCTATCTAGTGACAAAAATTTTGAGGTATGTCCTATTAGACTTTTTTAAAAAATAAAACAATTAAGGTTTGGTGAATATTATTTTATGACACTTGCTGAGATATAAATTATTACAATCTTCTTTTTTTTGTTTGTTTTTTCAGATTTTTCCATTTATAAAATATAACAAATAAAATAACCAATTCTTATAATTTTTAATATTTTCCAATTAATCTAATTAATGACAATAAAAATAAAAATAATTTCATTATTTTAATTCAATATGAATATGAAATTAAGAAAAAAACCAACTCAATCAATCAATCAAATATGAATCAATATGAAACAAAGAACTTCATTTGCTGCTCTCATTGACATTTTTTTTTTTAATTTTAATTGCATCATTATTAAATTTTGAGAAACTTAAAGTAGTTTATTTAGCATAAATTGAATGAGAAATATAATTTTCATTAATGTAACGAATCTTGACAGTTCCAATAGTATTATGATATTTTTAAGAGAAATTTTTTTTTTTTTTGTTTTTTTTCCTAGCTCAGTTGATTTATAAATATATATTGTGAATATATAGCTCAACATAAATGAAATCAAGAAGATGGTTGGGGGTGCAGTCGAGAAACTCGCACAAAATACCTCTAAACATATTTTCCCTCATATAATATAAATGTGTATTAGTTAACAAAACCATATGTTCACATCACAAACATCTAATAAATACTCAGTAGATAATATAATTTATAATTAAAAATTACAATAAATTTTTCTTTTCCAGGACCTATATCACGAACAATGCGAGTCAGTCTGTATCATGTTTGCTTCTATTCCAAACTTCTCCGAGTTTTATGTTGAATTAGAAGGGAACAATGAAGGTGTAGAGTGTCTGAGACTGCTAAATGAAATAATAGCAGACTTTGATGAGATATTAGGAGAACCACAATTCTCCTATATAGAGAAGATCAAATCCACTGGATCTACCTACATGGCTGCCTCAGGTTATTTGTTATATGCAGTAATGTTAGCTGTAATTTTTTTTTATTTTATGTTATTCTGTTAACGAAAGAAATGCCTTAGGTCTGACAAAGGCCACTTGTGACATGAAAGATCTAAAGCATGTGACAGCAATGGCGGACTATGCCCTGAGGATAAAAGAACAACTGGAATACGTAAATCAACATTCTTTCAATAACTTTAGGATGAGGATCGGTGAGACCATAAAAATTAATAATTATTATCATAAGTGTAACAGTATGTGATATATTTACTTGAACATAACAGAGAAAAGATATATTTAATTGCAAAATGGAATCAACATCACAGAAATTGCATGGCAAGTGTTCATGTGATAAAAATGCAAAATGTGACTATTTTATTCCTATTTAGTTAGGATTCATAATTCACTATGGTAGTTATTAATATTAATAACCAAAATGTTTACGACTTGAAGATTATTTTTAAAAAATTTGGTTAAAAGAAAAAAAAAAACTTTGCATCAACTTATGAATATAACAAAATCTCTCTTGTAAAAATATAAATCAAACTAGTATACCCCTGTGAAAACTCTCACATAAGAAGCTTCCGAAGCATCCAACATATAAAAGACCTGAATGGAACACGATTATTCATATATTCAATTCATAATTTACCACTACTCTTACAGTGACAATTAACTTAATAAGTGAATAGCTGGCCCCATTGGAAAATACCCCTCCAGTTTAATAGTAAAACAAAAATACACAGCTATCCCTGGACTTATATTAATTCATTATTGTACTCATTCTAGAGCTATTTGTTTGGTACAAAAGAGCTATACACACAATAGTAGTTATTGTAGCATTACACAACTGTGAATTGTAGTTCTCTTACTAAGAATATACAGATCTGTTACTGAGAGTATAGAATCCATATGTGGATATTTTTTTTTTTTTTTATTAAAGATATTAAAAAGTTTCTTTCTATATTATCCAAAGTGATTCCAAGGAGATCATAGAGCTAAAATCCAATTTATCATGTCTCAACTTATCGAGTTTTAAAACTTCCTAATCTTCACAATGATAGTTGTAGTAAGGTTTTAAGTTTGAAATTGGCATCTATCACTTCTCCATGAAATCTCCTTTTGTTTGATATCTCATGCATCATTCATGAAAGCCAATTTCTACTATCATTTTATACATGGTGTTGATGTTTCACATATTTTTTGTACATGGACTTGATACCATATCAATACCAAAAGACCACATCAACGATTTTAACCAGCATCTAGAGAATAATCATTGAATATTTCTGTCCTTATGTTTTCAATATACCTGGAACTTGGGTGTATTACCATCACTATCATGTCCGTTACTAATTCAATGCTTTGAGCAAGTATAGGAACACATACCTCATTCATTTTTCTTCAGATTGAACGAACCTTTGGGATTAAATAATAATAATGAGCAAGAGCCAGCCTGAGGGTTTTGGTTCCATATTAAATATCATTAGATAATAACATATTGAAAATGTTTGTGTTAATTTAAAATAAAGTTATGCTTGGCCAGTTGCTGAAGGCCAAGTTATGGAAGGATAGATAAACAGTAATAGAATGGAAAAGTGAAATAGTGAGGAAGGCCATTACTAAATGGCAAAGGTATAGATATATCAATTTTAAACTACTTAATAACCAAAATAAAAAAAGAAAATTATTTGTTAATTTTAGGTATCAATATTGGTCCAGTAGTAGCAGGAGTTATCGGGGCCAGAAAACCTCAGTATGATATTTGGGGAAATGCAGTAAATGTTGCTTCAAGGATGGATTCTACAGGCATTGTTGATAAAATACAAGTAATTACAAATTTTAACTAAGAAGTTTATTCATTATTAACTATAGGCTAAAATACTGTTACTTTTTTTCTCTTTCTTATTCTTAGGGTTGTATTAAAGCTTTCATTAGCATTATTATTGGTATAAAGTTTTTCAGAAGTGGAATTTCTTTACAAAACTGTCTTCATCGCATAAATTCAGTAATTTCATTTGTCATCAGGCTTTCGGGCTGAAGCCCCCTCCCTCCAAAATGGAAAAATATAACCATGTTTTATGGGAAAAAATTTTTTAAAAATACCTCTTAAAGTATTATTGTTCGTGTAATTACATTTAAAAGTACTTAAGGAATAACTTAAACACCATTTCATAAAGGTAGTTAGTTTCTTCCTGTTTTTCCAAAGTAATTATCGTTATTTTTATGAAAAAAAAAGGTTTCGGGCTGAAGCCCCCCAAAATTAAATCCTGGATCCGTTAGTGCAATCAGTTTAAATATAATTAACTAGTGTTGAACTACTATGTATCAATCAACAACCAATGCGATATTTGTATACAGCTTACTCTGCAAATACTATTGAATTGTGGATTCTTAAAAGTTCTCTTTAAAGGTATGTTTAAATTGGCAGTGTCTGCCAATTCGTTTCCCTTCTTGATTTCATATATTTTGTTGCCCATAAATTAATCTCTAATTAGATTTGTGATAGTTTGGAATGTTTTCTTTTCTAACATTTTCCCCATTTCTTTTTTTTTTTTTTTTTTTTTTTTTTAATCCAATCTGATACTACATCTTTTGTTCAAGTTACTCCTATGGAAAACTCATTTTCTTGCCTTATAGATTGCTATGTTTTCTTTTTAACTATCCAAGCCCCCATAGTGGGCTTGAACCCAGACCAAAATAACAGCTTTATTTTTCCTATCCGACCATAGTATTTACATAATTATGGAATTATGCGGTCACAGGCTGCCAATGGCATTCAGCTAAAATGTTTTTGGATACTGTAACATACATTTTTTTTTAATTATTAATTTATTAATATAATAAAAGATAAATAGATTTCCAATATGAATATAAGTATATGTATTAGAAAATTGTAATGAATAATATATATATATATATATATATACATTTTTTTAAGTTTATAATTAAAGATGTTTCTATTAGGTAACACAGGAAATGTACCAAATATTAAGTGCCAAAGGATACCCATTAACTTGTAGAGGATCTATTGAAGTCAAAGGAAAGGGAGAAATGATAACATATTTTTTAGATGGAGGAAAAACTCAAAAATAAGATTATGAAATAAGTAGTGCATATCGAATTGTAAATTATCAATTGCTTTGTGAACTGTTTGTTGTACTAAAGTAATATTTTAATTATTGATTGAGTAATAAATCTTAGAATTATCATATATATATATATATATATATATATATATATATATATATTATATATATATATATATATATATATATATATATATATATATATATATATATTGGTACAATTTGATTTCATTCAGCAACTAGAATTTACTACTATTAGCCATTAATACATGTTAACAGATGTTCACAGCAGGGTTTTGTATAAATAATATGTATTTTCTGTGATTTTATTTTATTTATTATAATCTTTATATATTTTTATATGTGAAACTATTGAGGATACACAATTGATTAAATTAGCTTATACTTAAATGATTGCATCAGTTAGATAACTAGCATAACATTGTCAGATATAATAAGGTATTATAATTATGTAATTAACTTTGCTTACTTATGACTTATGATAGAAAAAAATCAAATTTTAGTTCTCAGATGTATTTTCATACATGTAATGGTCAGCATTATTTTAAAATTTGTCTTATGGATTATAAATAGTCAGGACACAGTCATTTTTAAGGTTTTTATTACAGACACTAATAAAAACCTTACAAATCACCCATGATATGTAGAACAGTCAACTAACTTCCTTCAAAATATATCTAACTCAATTTTGACTTATAAATTGATCAAGAGACTAATGAGGTTGTGTTTCATTATTGAATTAAGTACGTAAATGAATTTATTTTTGGATTTATGTCAGGTATTTGTAATAGGATATTGTCCCTTGAAACACAAGAGTACCCAGGATCAAGGACCAGAAAATTTTATAAAGGATGTTTATATTTATGGTTGAAGGATTATATATGTTATAAGCCTATGGTCATTTTAAAAATGATTTCAGTTTGTTGGCAACCCATAATTTAGAAAGCGACTAGATCGGTTAAAATATAATTACCCTTCATGGCTAGTAATCATGTGGAATAGTTATTAAAACATTCAATTCTGTAATATCGTTGTTGTGAGTTAGTCATTTCAGCCATTATTTGTGTAGTAGCCCAATTGAAAAAGTAAGTATTTTGTTTTAAACAAAATCACAAGAAGTATTAAAATTAGACAATTTTAAAAGCTTTTTATTTCTAGTGAAAAAAATAAATCTTAAAAAAAAGTTTTTATTTGTGTTAGAATACAGGTTTTTTGTGTGTGTGTGTGTGTTTTCATTGCTTAGTATTACTATTCATAAGCCAAATGTGTTTAAATATTTCTTCAAATGAAAAACCAAAACTGATATTTGTTTATGATTAGTTCAGACAATATTAAATGGAACTATACTTATTAGTCTTCATTCAGCAGTATGATAAACATCTATTATTTATTTGTCACTAATGTTGTTCCTAATTATTGAATCTATAGAGAGTAAAAAACCATTACTCATTTTTGTGTTAATATCATTGTAGGAAGTGGGCTTTAAGTTAAGAAACAATTTTTTTTAAATATTACCTATTATTTTTCTGGAATACAATGATTTGTTTATCATAATTCCATAATTTTATTGTCATTCTTCTTTTTCTTCTTCAATGAGCGCTACAGTCCTTGTGGAACCTGGGTCTCTGCCACCACTCTCCTCCACTCCTCATGGCCCACAGCAAGATTCCTCCTATTTCTGATCTCCAGCCTCCTCAACTCCTCTTCGAGATCATCCAACCATCAGTGCCTGGATCTACCTCTTTGTCTTTTTCCTTCTGGAGTACCATTTAGCATCATTTTTGGAAGTCTACTGAGATCCATTCTTCCAACATGATCCAGCCATCTGAGTCTGCCCTTCTTAATAACACTAAGGATGTCTGGCTCACCATATAACTCCATTAACTCTATGTCATTTCATATTCTCCATCTATGCTGCTCTCTGATAGCTCCAAAGATTTTCCTTAGTACTCTTCTGTCCTAGACCAGCAAAGCTCTCCTGTTTTCCTTGATCATAGTCCATATCTCACTGCCATATAAAATGACCAGTCAAATCACTGTTTTATATATTACTAGTTTTGCTTTTCTGGACAGACTTTTGTAGCGGAGCGCCTTTTGCCGAGCATAGAAACATCTAGTTCCTGCAACCATCCTGCCTTTTATTTCCGCTTCCAAATTATTGTTTTCTGTCACTATTCCGCCCAAGTACTTAAATTTATCACGGTTGCAAAATGTGTCTTCTCCCAATTCAACAGTATCTCCTCTCTCTCTGGTATGTCGGAAACTTTTCATATACCTCCTCTTTTCCATGCTTATAATGAGTCCTAACTCTTGAGCTGCCTCCTTGAAGCCGGCTCGTGCAGCTTTAGTTCTCCCTGACATAACAACATAATCAGCATATGCCATGTGTTGCGTGAGCCTATTATAAATGGTACTACCAGAGTTTGTCTTGCTTTTCCAAATTGCAACCTCTAACGCGAGATTTAATAGTACAGGAGATAATGGGTCCCCCTGTATTAAGCCACTGTTAACCTCGGAACTTTTTTCTTTTTTTTTTTTTTTTTTGTCCTTCCCTTCCTCGCCGTTAAGGCTATACGGGATTTTCCCGGGCCAGGGAGTGTGAGCGAGGATTTAAAAGACTCCCTAGGCACCGGGACGCGAACTCGTGTCTGTTTTTATATCATTAATTCATACGTCAGGTTGCCGGGCAACGGCGGTGCAGTGCACAAGCGTTAGCCCATTCGGCCACCCCGCCCAATAGTTAACATCAGAACTATCTGACATACCTACTCTGGTTTTGATTATACAGCTTGTCCTTTCTATAGTCATTCTGGTCAATATTATTAGTTTACTAGAAATCCCCTGTGACTGTAAGGCTTCCAATAGCTTACTCCAGTTCACACTGGCATACGCCTGCTGGATGTCAATGAATAGTTGATGCAGGTCTATATTATATTCATACACTTTCTCCAGCATTTGTCTGACAGAGAAAAGGTAGTCAGTAGTCGATCGTCCTGGGCGAAAACCACTCTGATACTCTCCCAGTATTCTTTCACTCCTCTTCACTAGCCTTCGACATATTGTCACGGAAAGGATTTTATAGACTGTGGGTAGGAGTGCTATTCTCTAGTAGTTCTCACATTTGAATTTATCTCCCTTTTTATGTATAGTGACTATAGCCTCCCCCAATTCATCTGGCATTTTTTCTTCTGACCATACGTCCCATATCATCTTGTGGATCTCGTTCCAGGCATCTTCTACTGTGTATATTATCAATTCCGACGGTATTCCATCAGACCCTGTACATTTATTGTTTTTTAGTGAAAGAATTATTTCAGCAACATCTTCTTTTTCTGGTGATACACCCTCATCAATATTCTCATTACCTGATTCATACATCTGGGTGGTGTTTATGTTATTTGTTTCTACATTTAGCATTTTTTTAAATTATTGGGCCCATCGCCTCTTGATTTCATCATTATCAGTGAGAAAATTTCCGTTTTGGTTCCAACAGAATTCTGTCTGTTGGCTTAAGCCCTGTTGTAGCCATTTAACGCCCTTATAGAACTTCCTACTCTCTTGTGCTTGAAACATTTCTTGCATCTCCTCGAGTTTCATCATTTTGTATGTCTTTTTCTTATCACACATAACTCTTTTAGCCTTTCTTCTTTTTTCCGAGTATACTTCATATGTACTGCATGGTTTCCTTTGTGTCATTTTCATCTGAGCTTCATTTCTTTCTTGTAGGGCCTTCTCAAAATCGCTATCAAACCAAGGATTCCTTTTCTCAGTCTTTTTCCTTCTCCCAATACCTTTCTTGCCATTTTCCTGATAGACTCTCCTAATTTTCCCCACCTTTCCTCTGCATTCATCTCTTCTCCAATCCATTCCTGGAACTGTTGCTGAAATTTCTCTTTATACAGTTGTCTTGTGGGCTCCTCCATCAACTTTTCGATATCACAAATGTCTTCTTTCCATGTGCCAGATGTTTATATTTTGCCACGACCACGTCAGGGTCGCAGTGTGCTCCCCTGTAGCTACATGCATCCAAGATGTGAGAAAAGTGTCTGGCGTCTATCAATATGTGGTCTATCTGACTTCTAGTTCGGTCCCCTGGACTTATCCATGTTTCCTTGTGAATCTTTTTTCGGGGGAACATAGTAATCATAAGCATCATTCCTTTAGACATGGCAATGTCTACTGTTCGAAATCCATTATCATTCATTACTTCATGTCTGCTATGTTGCCCGATTGTGTGTTTGTATATTTCTTTCATGCCTATCTGGGCATTGAAATCTCTGAGCAAAATCTTAGTGTCATACTGTGGTATCTGCTCGTATGTCTTGGCCAGACTGGTATAGAATGTTTCCTTGTCCAGTTCCTCCGTATCTTCACAAGGGGCATGCACACTAATCAGTGATGTATTGCAGAATCTATCCTTCATTTGGATTCTGCAAATCCTGTCACTAATACAATTGTACCCAAGTAGCTCATGTCGGATATTTTTCCTAATCATGAAATCGGTGCCTCTTTGATTTCTCTTAGAGCCACTATTTATTAGCATATACTTACTAAGGGATATAATATCAATATCACCCCACCGGATTTCCTGTAGAGCCACTACATCTACTTTATATTGTTCCAGTGCTGTCTCTAGTGCTCTGCTCCCTCCCGGCTGCAGTATGCTTTGGACATTCTAAGTACCGATTCTCATTCCACATCCACTGTTCTTCACTTTCCCCTCTCTCTTCTTCTTCTCAAGCATCTTTCAAGATCTGGTGTAGGTAAGGACCCTTCCTTCCCTCCCCGTATCCGAATGGATCCCTCTGGGGATTATACTTATGTTTTTGGCCTTCACCATTCCTGTATAGAAAACCTCCTTCCGGCAGTTTCTGGATTGTACTTTTTTTTATAGAGGTGAGGTCGCCCATCCCCCATGCTCAACCCTCCTCCTTTATCCAGGCTTGGGACTGGCAGTGGTTCACCTAGCAACACTAGACCCACTGGCCGAGTTTTTATTGTCATTATTATAGTAAATTGGTCATATCCTATTGATGTATAAATTTGCAAAACTTTGTCATATTTAATAAA